TATTTTGAACATATTCATTGATTCAAACGATTCATTCAACAACACCGATTCACTTAGCAACGAAACTGCCGCGATTCACCGAGTCAATGAATCATTCGCTCAGCCGACAAAGAAAGCTTCACATAATACGAACGTCTTTATTTGAATCTTTTAAATATAGGAACTCAATTAAGTTACAATTATGCCTCAGTCAGATGTTAAATAATATGGAACTATGAGCCTGTTCTGGTTTATTCATACAAGCTGCAGCAGCGCCACCGTGTGGACCGACGACGCAACTGACTTTAAAACCCAAAGGAAAAACACTCGCGTAAAATAATGTTTATTAATTCTCAGTTATTTGAATTGAAAGGTATAAAATATATAATTATAATATATAATATAGGAGTTTTTGAAAATAATATATTGATAAAAATATCTGACATAAAAAATAACAAAACACTAAAAACTATATTAAAATTAATAATTAAATTCTTCAAATATTTAATATATAATATAAAGGAATTTAAAAAATAAACCTAGCATGTGTGTGTTTGTGTAATATCAATATAGATATATTTTTAAAATGAATAAAAGTAAAATATTAATGTAGGAACATTTGTGTTTATGTAGGTGTAATTCTGCTGCGCCCTCTTGTGGCAGACTTCTATTACAAACTCATACAAATCATATTTAATACAAATTATTATTATTATTGTTGATATCAGAATATTATATTAGTGTCAATCTCATATCCAGGTCATTTTACCCTAAAATAATACATTAAAATGAAGCAATTAAGATTTTTAAATTACGTTTTGCGCTACAGCAATTTAAAAGTTTATTGAAATTTGAATTCATTTTTGTGCAGTAAAACATACATATATAATTTAAACATAAGTTTAGCATAAATTACAACAGTGAAATATTAAAGTAGTAGGTCGTCGTCAGAAAAATGTTTAATCAATACAAAATAAATATAAATAAATAATCTGGATTTAATAAGAAACTTCCCAAGCAAATTTAAGTTTTATTATAGGTATTATAGGTAATTATTTTATGAAATGCACAACATTTTAACATGCATATATATGTAAAATATTTTCCTGCTCTTTATGTTAAATAACAATTTATTCATTATTAAATTAATGCAAAATAAGGTTTTCCTCTGACTAGAAATAAAGACGTAGAAATAATTAACATGACTCACTGTTTAAAAATATATTATTTATTTATTTTAACAATGCAGTCAATACAAGAACATATATCATATTTTTTCTTTGGTTTATCGATCTAAAATTTCTTCCACACACACAATCTCATGAAGATCAAAGTCGTTGCTTTCTCTCCATCTTCTTTGTGTTTTTCTCATTTAATGGAAACATTTTCTTCAACATTTCATAAAATCACTCCAGATGTTTCTCCAAAGATCCTCCAGAACTCTCTGGACCCTGATATTCTGACCCACATCAAGATGTTTCAGAGCTTTTACATTCAATGAGTAAAAGACAAATATGATGAAAACGGCATAATGAGAAATAATGAGGTCTAGAGAGAGCTCAACTGAAACTAGGCTCATCTGTGTGTTCAGATTGTTGAACGGTACATTATAAATGCAGTTCATACTGTCACGTGACTTGAACACAGCTCTTATATGATAATGTTTGCCATTTCAGACATGATTGAAGATGCATCTCTCTGCTGGCCGTCCTGATGAAACTGCTGAGTGTCAGTGTAATGTCCACAGCAGCTAAAAATACACTAAACTCAACAGGAGCTGTTTAGAGTTGAGCCTAGAAGAGCTCTGGAGGAGGACAGAGAGAAGAGCTTTGGACTCTCAGCAGAGCTTGAGGAACATCTTCTGTGAGGATTCACAGCATGTGAGCTCCTAAAATCAGACTCTCACACGGACTGAAAAGCCTCCAGAGTCCTTCACTCCAGAGCCAACATCTCTCCAGTGTTTCAGGGACTGCATAAGAGCATCAGATATGTCTGATTCTTTAAAGTGAACGCTTGGTGCTTTAAATCATTCAGGAATGTGAATCGCTTACTTTGAGCTGAAAGGTTTGTTGTAGTTCAGGTGTTGCAGTGTCACAGATGATCAGCTCACAGATACGTTTCAGAGAGGGAAGAAACCTCCTTCTTCTTCTTCTTTATTCCGTCTGATTGTGCATCACAGATAATAGTGTTTGAGAAGCTGCTCCTGGTTTGAACTGCTGTACTTTTAGTCCACATGAATTCAGATGTACCTGCTGCTGCTTGTATTCTGAGTGAGAACTCATCACCGTGTCCTAAACTGCAGGAATTTGTGCTTTTAATAAAAGTAACATGATCATAAATGTTGTCTGAAAGAAATAGCCACTTCTGATGCGTCTGATCTTCTGTATCAGGAACACACGGCACTTTGTGTTCAATTCATTCGTCAAATACACGAATGTTAATAAAGTCTCTCAGAGTTCAAACACCAACAAAACGGACCCTCAGCTCATTACAGGACTGAGACAAACTCCTCCAAACAACACAGCGCCGCGGCTCAAAGAACAGCCAGAGGTTCAGAGGGCCGAGTCTCACTTATACCAGTTCAAAAACCTCATTCTTCTTCATGTTTTAATCAGACAAAACTCATAAAGAGAGAGCAGTGATAGAAGTGAAGCAATCACTCGTGTGCTTAAAATGAGTTTTCACTGTTTGTGGCTGAATAAGACACAGAGCTCCAGAAGAAGAGTCCGTGGCTCAGTGGTCTGAACATCAGGTCTGGATGTGGACACGACCGGTTCAAGCCTCACTCTTGCTGTGGAAACCAGTTTAGTGTCACTGGATTCAGCTGAATAACATAACACTGCTAAACACAAACACACAAGTGTGGACGAGCCTGTGGGTCAGCGGTCTGAGCTTCAGTTCTTGTGCTGGGAGCTCCAGGTTCAAATCCTGTGTTAAAGTAAGTTTAATTTCACTAGTCTTTAAAGAAAAAGACAAAAGTCCAGGAAAAGAGTTATTAGTGTGGAAGTGCCAGGAACAATAACCATGTGTTTTTCTTTTTATTTGCAGTAAAACCAGGTTAATTCTGGTAAGTGCACCTGCATCGCAACAAAGCAGCGTGTTCAGAATTACAACAACACATTCATATCGGTTCGCAACATCAAGCAGCGCGAGCAGACTAACAATAATGAGACACAACATTAAAAACACGCCGAGAGTTATTCACATCCAAACTCGAGGAGCATGAACTCACCGCATTCAGATCTGCTGGAACCGGGTTCAGCAGCGCGTGCTGCTTCTAGTTTGCTGCTGATCTCCGGCAGCTGTCGAGTCAGTCATCACATTCTCAACCAATAGGACCTCTGCTCTCTCCGAGTGTGACGACGCTCATCTCTTTTTCTCTGCCGTGCTGTGCTGCTGTATTGTCGGTGAAGGTTGTGTATTGATACTCATTTCTATATATTTGCGGATCTGTGGTGACTCATTTTGCTGTGCAGGCGACTCAACTTTCTAGCATCATGCCATAACTGTGAAGCACTTTGCATCCTGGTCTCTCCCATCAGTGTAGCCGCTTGTGCAGGAGACACTTTGATGTTAGGCCTCATAAAACTTTGTCTATACAAATAAACATCCTTTTCAATGAAAAATAGTTTTTATTTTTTAAGCAATTTTTTGTACTGCTGCTTCAAAGAATCAACACTTGATCAAATTAGTTTGAATTCATCTTGAATACATAATGAGCTGCCTGCAAGACTCTACAGATTTAACTCGATTCAGAGGAAAACCTTGCAGTAAATTCAAGCATATATGTGTCAAATATGTGAATGTGAAAAGAAAATGTCAAATTACCCCTTTTATTTACTCAATATATTTTGCATCTGTACTATACATTGAGTTTCGTCGCCCTCCTGTGGTGAATTGTGTGAATTATTTGACACTTAAATCATAATTAGTTCCGTCTTAAATGCATCGTATTTAATAACCAAAATTAAAGCAGCACTATGTAACCTTTTCTGTGTTCAAAATGTGCAAAATGTATATAATGAGCGAGTACAGGTAAATATCTAGCATACACTTGAATCATTCTTTAGTCACTAAATTATTTCCAACTAGTCACAAATCAGTGTGAACAGTTATTCTATTATTATTATTATTATTATGTAAAATGAAGTCTAATATATTAGTGTTTTAAATTACAGTTGTACTGTAAAATAACAAATCAATAAATTATTTCCAACTATTCAAAAATCAGCGAATTATTATTAGTTATTCAATTATTATTATTATGCTAACTAAATGTAAAATTAAGTCTATTAGTGTTGCAAATTACGATTGTACTGTAAAATAAAAAAATATAATTTGATATAGTATTATCAAATAATATCAAACCATGTTTTAAAATCGAATAATTTTTAAAACTATTTTAATTATAAAAAGAGAAGACTGAAATGCATTACTGTGTAAATTACAGTTGTACTGTAAAATAGAAAAAAATGGAATAGAAATATGATAATTATAATTTGATAATATTGAAATATAATCTCAGGTGTTGACAAAGCAATCAAACTCAAGATGTACTAAAAATCATTCTGAACTTTCTATTGAGTGTTTTTTTGTGCCTCAAACACATTTTGCTCTAATGCATCATTTATAATGTCTTCATTTTTGGGTGAATTATTCCTTTAAAGGGGTCATAGGATGCTACATGCACTTTTACAAGCTGTTTGAACTGAAATGTGTTGGCAGTGTGTGTACACAACCACCCTACAATGATAAAAATCCACCCGGTGTTTTTTTTTTTTTTATCTAC